ATAATAATACAATATTAGATGTTAGATTGTTGAAAATACAGCACTCTGAACTTTGAGAATTGATCTTAACTATGTACTTCAATGGATGACCTAATGCATATTTTTGTAATAGGTCATGTTTGTTTTTGTTTGCAGATACACTCACAATGATCGACTTTAACTTAACATTTAAAGGACAGAGGTATCAATAACAATCTGAGGTTGAATGCAGTGCAATAACATTAAGGAGGACACTGTATAACTTCATTCAAACCTTTTCCTTCTTTCTTTAGAAGTTATTGCCCTATTAAAAAACAACAACAAAAAACACCTTTAATGGTAGACTTCTGAATCAGAATCAGGTTTACTGCCAATGGATGAGCATTAATGTAATGTAATGTATAGATTCAGGGTGAGTGGTAGGTTTAACAGGCATTATTAGTGGGGGTCCTGGGTCTTGTTGACTTGGTTGTTGCCTTGTCTTACTCTGAGTATTTAAAATAATCTGTTCACTCATTTGGCAGTAATAGAAAGCTAAAGGAATAAGTTTTGAATTTAGATGATTGGACTGATCTGGCCTTTAATGCTTATTTACAGTACACAGATTTAAACCTCCTCCTCCTCCTCCTCCTCCCTCCTCCTCCTCCTTGGCACACACACACACACACACACACACACACACACACACACACACACACACACACACACACTTTTTGCTTTTATTATATCCCTTTTAATAAATGCTTGTGTTTATATATGCTGGCCTATTTAATTTCATATAAGAGTGGGTGATACCAACCTTTCCTATGTAGAACTCCAAAGCTCCCACTTTAGCTCTTAATAATGATTTTGGTTGTATTTATTAATTTAATTATAAATCTGACTTCTGAATTAATAGTTTGATGTATTTTTATGAGACTGATCAATCGATTATTGGTTATCGTTTCCCTTATTTGAGGGTGGTGCCCCGAGGATCTTTAATATTAATTAAAATCATTTTCTATTATCTTTTGATAATTATACATTTTGATAACCATTAATTGATTAACCTAATACAGTTAAACCACTGTAACACCCCACGACGTTGAGCCCGACACAGATGTCAAAACCTCAGATGACATTACCTGAAACCAGAATAGTGTTCAAATGAATGCTTAGGAATAAGATGATCATGTTGTCTTTTGTGTTTGGTAATAATTTTATCGTTGATAAAAAAATATTCTCAGTGTGTCGGCAGATGATTATGATTATTTCGATCCTCCTCTTTGAGTAAACCCTCCTATCAGCAAACCAACATGAAGGCATGAGGTGGGTGGTGCCATAACTGTATCCTCCTCCTCTTAACATTATAACCATCATGTCAACTACCACTGCTGCCTCTGTATAAAGGTCTGATTAAAGATATATCACCACCTCATAAAAGGAAAGCATACAGGTGCAAGAGGCTGTGAGCTGTAGTAGCGAGATGACAAAATGTGTTGTGGAGGTTTTTGTACTGAGGAGCAGTGATATGTAGCACTGTGTAATCTAGCAGCACAGAAGTACACTGCACTGCTGTTCAGCTGGAGTTCTTCAATTGTTAATGTGCAGTTTTGGTCTTTATTTGCACTCCCTGCTATCTTCACATTCACTCCCTTCTCTGGAGATCCACTGCCTCCCACCATGTATCCAAGCAACTGCAGCTGTCTGTTCTTTGATTTCTTGTACCAGAGGATTGTATTATAGTTTTGAATACTGTGTGAACACTCAATTTTAGCTGCTCCTTCAGGTTTGTTGAAAGTGTGGGCTGGATTCTGGTAGACTAGTTCATTTAGAGAGGAACCTGTGGAAAAGCCATCAAGAGAAACAACACAGTGATTGCAGTTGAGCACCAGACACCAGTTAAAGTTAGAGAGGAAGTGGAAATAAAATAATGTTTCTTTAGTTTAAAAGCCCAATGGTTTCTTTGAATCTCTGAAAGTACATGTGCTTATTTTTATTTCATTTTATATAATTCAGTTTACATGCCAGAGCCTGTAATATGAAACTTTCTATCATACTACAGGCAAACAATCATTTTTCAAAGATAAATACCAATTATCTAAAAGGTCTTTTCATTACCTGAAACCAGTATAACATTCAAGGTTATGCAGCAGACAATGATCATCATGTTGTGTTTTCAATGTCAGTCTTGTTTCTGGTGCTGTTTTCTTCACTATGCTGGTATACAGAGGATTCCCTCCTCCCTTTCTGATTAAGTCCTCCTATCAGAAAAACGTCATATCCTCCTTTTCTAAATATTAAAACCATCATGCCAGTTACCATTACACGCCGCTGGGGGTAAAATACACACTGCCACCTCAAGGAAGTAATAAATAGCAGTGTTAATAATAACAAATACATTTTATGTGATGTTACTGCTGTTTTAAAGACCAAACAAAACACAGTCTCTTCAGTCCATGAATTGTTGAATTGCTTTTAAAAATGTCAAAATGTTGAATTAGTAATATTCACCATATAAACTACACGTATATAGAATTGATTAAATTCAACAACAACATCGAATTCAACATCAACAGATCTGGAAAAACACTGCACCCTAATGGATAAAGTAAGAATCTACCTGTCTCATGGTGCACCAGCTGTCTATCAGTCATTCACAATGTGGTTCAAGTGGTAATTTCTGTAACTGGCTGCGTCAGAGAAGGTTTTTGTTAAAGACGGAGGGTTTGTGTAGCACTGTGCTCTACTGGCTGCACAGAAATACACTGCGCTGTTCTCGGATCGACTCTTTGGAATATGAAGATGTGCCAGACTTGATCCATGACCGCTCACATTATAAGAGTCTTTGAATTTATCTTCAACAACCGCAGAAGTGAATCGTACATAACCAATTAAAGCCATATCATTTTCCCCAGCAGACTGTTTGTACCACTGGATCATATTAAAATCAGTGTTTGAATGGTTGCAGTTCATCAGGATGTCTTCTCCAGCATCTTTAATCATGGCAGTGGGAGTCTGATGAACGCTGGTTTTTGAGAGTTCTGCAAGAGACATTTAAAACAAACAGCTTTAGTGACGAATAAACTTAAACTTAATTGAAAATATTTAGGTAGGAGTTAATGCATATTACCTGTTAAACAGAACGGCAGAGCTGCTAAATGTATAAGAAGTCTGATCATGATTGTAACGTAGATGAAAAGAAAACAATAATGACTGCAAACTGAAGAGAGCTGCCTGGATGTAGAGGACGAGGAGGAGGAGTCTGCTTTACGGACCGTCACATGTCTTCATCAGTGGATTTGTACAGTGTCTTGCTCTCCTGGTAAACACAGGAAAAGACTGTTTTAAGGTTGATATCAGTGTCAATTTCCTGCCACAGGCTGCAGTTCGATGCAGGTGTGCTCCTCTTCAGCGTGACTTTATGTGGCTGATTATCAGAGAGGGTTTTTGTAAAGGGGAGAGGGAAATTGAGTCACTGTGCTTACTCGCTGCACAGAAGTACGTGGCGCTGTCTTCTGGATCTCTGAGTTTCTGCACATGAAGTTGAGAGTTCGTGGAGCCATGTCCAGTTATATTGAAATGCTTTTGGAATTTATCCTCGATGGTTGGATTATCAAAATAAATATATCCAATGAGTTTAAGGTCAGAGTCCCCCATCGGCTGCTGGTACCACAATATTTGATCGTATGAACTGATTGAATGGTTGCAGCTGATTGCTGGTGAACCATTGGGACTTCCTAATATTGACGATGGAGCCTGATGGACTTTAGTGCTCAGTGAACAACCTGCATTTAAAGAGAAAACATTAAGAAAACAGAGATGTTTTCAAAAAATGTAACTTTTAGAATTTGAATTGAAACCTACAGGAGAGCCAGAGAAGCAGCAGAGTGATCCTGTTGAGCTTTTTGATCATGATGTCTTTATCTTCCTCTCTGTCTTTGCACTGACGGACTGAACAGACGTTCAGGGATCAGCTTAGATGGGAGGAGACAGATTTTCAATATGTTGTGAACGCTTATCAAGACCAAAAAGCCAAACATTAGCTATGTTTTGGGCTTTGTTTTCTTTGCAGAACAAGCTAATAATGACTCTGGGATTGATGATTGGTGATGTTTACTATTTTATTTTTACTATGTGTCAACTAAATGATTAATCTGAAAATATAATTACTGCAACTCCATACAAAACCAAACTGTAATTGAATTTATGGTATATTTTCTTATCAGAGGGTTTGACTTGCTCTTTTGAGAAAATATAATTATTGGGTGTTTTTGTGCAAAAGTATAAAACCTATAGCTCTGAACAGGGACACAGTGAAGATCAGATCATTTTAATCTGCTGATCAGACAAATTATAGTTACAGTGATGAGTTCAACAAAGCTGATAACAGCATCTCGTACTCCATCCTGTCACATGATGATGCTATCTGTGAAAAGGTGTGTTATTACTGTGAGACAGCACACACTGGTGATACATGTGAATTAACAGACAGGCTGTCTACATTGGTCTTTATTAACATTTGTTAGTAGTCAGGACACATCAGACACAGAGTCATAAAACTTTTTTGATAGGGTTTGGATTCAATTGGTTCCAGGTGCTAGTCACTATATTTGGCAGTAAACCCAGAGGTGATGGAGGTTTATAGATAAAATGTCTTTTTATTCTAGATTCAGACAGTTATCTGTCACAAAATAATGTGTAATAATTTCACACTGTTCTGTAATGCATGAAAAGTAGGAAAAGTTTTTTTTTTTACATTTAAGGGTCAGAGAAAGAAACCTAATACAGCATGTAAAAAGTAGTGATGTGACAATTTCTGTATTCGTTTTGTATGTCATTTCACATTCACATTCATGATCTTTAACTTGTACAATATGTTTCTACACTCCAGTATAACAATTATATTACAAAGCTACTGATATAATAAGTAACACTGACTACTCAAAATCTTAACGTAGTATACAGGTCTCCAGCTCCTCCTACAGAGAATTATACACAGTGATGATGTCTTCTATTCATTGTGACAGCAACAGTTGGGTATTTGTACAGCTGTCTCAGCCACCTGTATCACTGTGTTGACTCACAGCACAAAAATACACTCCACTGTCCTCAGGCAGCAGCTTCTTCACTGTCAAAGATCCAGTCTGAGGGTCGTTCTTCTGCGCTGGAAACTTGTCCTCGCTGAAGCCACTTTCATATTTATGTGGTGGAGTTGTAGTGGTGAAAACTATTTGCTTCATCCCCTCTCCTGGTAGCTGTCTGTACCAGTACATCTGGAAGTAGCCAGCACCCTTCGTGTGACTGCAGTCTATTGTTGCACTGTCGCCATTGAACTTCCACAGTGTGTCATTCTGGGTGACATCGTCCCCATCAATTAGACCTGTGTGTAGAACAGTAAAAGTTACCATAAGGAGACATTTGATCTTTGAAATAAATGTTCAGATCTTGCGGTACTTAACCTCCTATCCAGAGAACAAATACCAACAAGCTGAGGAGACCATGTTTGATAATGTTCATGTTCTAAAACTCTCAAAGTCTCATATGAGTCTGTCAGTGTATTCACAGAGAGATGAAGAGTTGGATGTAGGTGTGTCTCTGCAGTGTGTGACGTCCCCTTCTCCTGTGAGCTGCTGTATAAAAACCTACATGGTCAGTTGAAGTGTATGAGCAGATGTTAGGAGGTACTGGAGGTCCCCCTACATTCAGATCGGTAACACTGACAGCTGAGGAGGCCAGTTTTGTTAATGCACTGAATTGAACACACCTTTTTAAAATGATGGAAGATCAGGCTGTCCATGCAATATGAGGCAGTGATCATACATGTTAACAATTCTAATTTTGAACCTGATTTGAGATACCTGTCAGTTGTAAACAAAATGTCTTAAAATGTTTTGGTCATTTATGAATATAAAACAGGAGGATGTTGAACATTTTTGAGGGTGGTTGGTTCCAGGTGTTAGTCACTATCTTTGGCAGTAAACCCAGAGGTGATGGAGGTTTATAGATAAAATGTCTTTTTATTCTAGATTCAGACAGTTATGTGTCACAAAATACAGTGTAGTAATTTCACACAGTTCTGTAATGCATGAAAAGTAGGAAACATGATTTTCTATCATTTTTTTTAGGTTAAAGGGTCAGAGAAAGAGAAACATAATACATCATTTAAAAAAGAGCGTATAAAGTTACTGGAATACAAAAGGAACGAAAGTTATTTAATCAGCACTGAATTGGATTAAATGTAAAGTACACATGGTGCGACAATTTCTGTATTCGTTTTGTATGTTATTTCACATTCACTGATCTTTAACTTCAACATATTTCTACACTCCAGTATAACATATATATTACAAAACTATTGATATAACAAATATTACTGACTACTCAAAATCTTAATGTAGCATACAGGTCTCCAGCTCCTCCTACAGAGAATTATACACAGTGATGATGTCTTCTGTTCATTGTGACAGCAACAGTTGGGTATTTGTACAGCTGTCTCAGCCACCTGTATCACTGTGTTGACTCACAGCACAAAAATACACTCCACTGTCCTCAGGCAGCAGCTTCTCCACTGTCAAAGATCCAGTCTGAGGGTCGTTCTTCTGCGCTGGAAACTTGTCCTCGCTGAAGCCACTTTCATATTTATGTGGTGGAGTTGTAGTGGTGAGAACTATTTGCTTCATCCCCTCTCCTGGTAGCTGTCTGTACCAGTACATCTGGAAATAAGTAACGTCCTTGTTGTGACTGCAGTTCATTGTGGCAGACTGATCCTTGAGTTTCCACAGCAAAGGTGTCTGAGTGACATCACTCCCATCAATTAGACCTGTGGGGGTAAAAAAGAAAATCACATGTCATGTTACAGGACCACCATCAGGTCCTCTGTATGCTGACTGAATGACCAATATAAAATCATTAGTATGACTTTAAAGTAACATATTCTCCTCTCAGTCCTCAGCATCAGAGTGTACAGTACCTACAATCCAGAGCAGAGCTGCAGAGAGTCTGATCAGACCAGCAGTGATCATTATTGTGTTCTGAGTAACATGAACTTGGAGACCGGAGTTGGTGTCAGTGTGTGTGATGGGAGGTGTGACGTTACAGCAGTGAGATGAAGAGTTGTGGGAGTGTCGCTGTATGATGTGATATGATGTACTACCAGAGACACTGCTAACATGAACTTGGTCTCTTAGTCTGAATATTTAAAAACTTATGGAGCTGTTAATTTATTTGTCAGTAATAGACATTTGCATTCAGATAACTGGACAACCATGTGATAGTTATCTTGTTGAAATAAGGTGCAGGCACTGCAGACCTGCTGAACGTCTGAGGCTGTTGTTAGGAACATAAGGAACCTCCCATTATAATATCTGATCTGGATGAAAGGGAAGACCAACATTGGTTAGAATGGGTTAATACAGGTGTAAGTGTGAGCTGTAACATGAAGATATCAGAAGGTTTTTGTACTGAGGAGCAGTGATATGTAGCACTGTGTGAACTAGCAGCACAGAAGTACACTGCACTGCTGTTCAGCTGGAGTTCTTCAATTATTAATGTGCACGTTTGGTCTTTTAGTCCACCCCCTTCCATCTTCACATTCACTCCATCTTCAGGATATCCATCGTTTACATTCATGTATCCCAGGAGCTGCATCTGCCCGTTCTTCGATTGCTTGTACCAGTAGATACGGGTATAATCCTGAATACTGTGTGAACAGCGGATTTTGGCTGTTCCTCCGGTTTTTTTTGTACACGTCAGCTGGAGTTTGGTGGACTTTGTGACTGACAGAGGAACCTGTTAATAAGAAAATATATCAAACAATATACAATCACAGTTAGTGAGTGCAAATAAATCCTCTAAGTCCTTTTTCTTGAATCTGGTTGAACATGCAAATTCAATGTAATTAGCTACAGCACCCTGACAATGTTGAAATAACAATGAAGACTTTTTATTACCTGAAACTAGTATAACATTAATGGTTATCCAGAGGAAGATTATCATGATGTTGTGTTTTATTAAGTTCAGTGTAGTTATTGGTTCTGTTTTCATCACAGTGTAGGTTGGTATACTGTTTCTATCTCCTTTTCTGAGTAAACCCTCCTATCAGGAAAACAAACTCAACCTTTTTAAGGTAGGCGGTGTTATAGAGCTTCTTCCTCTCTTAAATTAAAACCATCCTGTCAACTACCACGGCACACCAGTAAAGATATACTGCCACCTTATGAAAGGAAGCAAAACAATAAATACCTCTTATAATCTGAACAAACAAATTTGTAAAATGTTGCACCTAACTAGTAAGTACTATAATAATACAATATTAGATGTTAGATTGTTGAAAATACAGCACTGACTCTGAACTTAGAGAATTGATCTTAACTATGTACTTCAATGGATGACCTAATGCATATTTTTGTAATAGGTCATGTTTGTCTTTGTTTGCAGATTCACTCACAATGATCGACTTTAACTTAACATTTAAAGGACAGAGGTATCAATAACAATCTGAGGTTGAATGCAGTGCAATTAAAATAAAGACGACACTGTATAACTTCATTCTAATCTTTTCCTTCTTTCTTTAGAAGTTATTGCCCTATTAAAAAACAACAACAAAAAACACCTTTAATGGTAGACTTCTGAATCAGAATCAGGTTTACTGCCAATGGATGAGCATTAATGTAATGTATAGATTCAGGGTGGGTGGTAGGTTTAACAGGCACTGTCAGTGGGGGTCCTGGGTCTTGTTGACTTGGTTGTTGCTTTGTCTTACTCTGAGTATTTAAAATAATCTGTTCACTCATTTGGCAGTAATAGAAAGCTAAAGGAATACGTTTTGAATTTAGATGATTGGACCATCTGGCCTTTAATGCTTATTTACAGTACACAGATTTAAACCTCCTCCTCCTCCTCCTTGACACACACACACACACACACACACACACACACACACACACACACACACACACACACACACACACACCTTTTTCCTTTAACTTAGTTTCTTTAAGTTAGATTGTATACAGTGTATTTTCCTCTGTTTGCTTTTATTATATCCCTTTTAATAAATGCTTGTGTTTATATATGCTGGCCTATTTAATTTCGTATAAGAGTGGGTGATACCAACCTTTTCTATGTAGAACTCCAAAGCTCCCACTTTAGCTATTAATAATGATTTTGGTTGTATTTATTAATTTAATTATAAATCTGACTTCTGAATTAATAGTTTGGTGTATTTTTATGAGACTGATCAATCGATTATTGATTATCGTTTCCCTTATTTAAGGGTGGTGCCCCGAGGATCTTTAATATTAATTAAAGTCATTTTCTATTATCTTTTGATAATTATACATTTTGATAACCATTAATTGATCAACCTAATACAGTTAAACCACTGTAACACACTACGACGTTGAGCCCGACACAGATGTCAAAACCTCAGACGACATTACCTGAAACCAGAATAGTGTTCAAATGAATGCTTAGGAATAAGATGATCATGTTGTCTTTTGTGTTTGGTAATAATTTTATCGTTGATAAAAAAAATATTCTCAGTGTGTCGGCAGATGATTATGATTATTTCGATCCTCCTCTTTGAGTAAACCCTCATATCAGCAAACCAACATGAAGGCATGATGTGGGTGTTGTCATAAGTGTATCCTCCTCCTCTTAACATTATAACCATCATGTCAACTACCACTGCTGCCTCTGTATAAAGGTCTGATTAAAGATATATCACCACCTCATAAAAGGAAAGCATACAGGTGCAAGAGGCTGTGAGCTGTAGTAGCGAGATGAAAACATTTGTTGTGGAGGTTTTTGTACTGAGGAGCAGTGATATGTACCACTGTGTATACTAGCAGCACAGATGTACACTGCACTGCTGTTCAGCTGGAGTTCTTCAATTGTTAATGTGCAGGTTTGGTCTTTATTTGCACTCCCTCCTATCTTCACATTCACTCCAATCTCTGGATATGGATCATTTACATACATATATCCCAGGAACTGTAGTTGTCCGTCTGTTTGCTTGTACCAGAGGATTCGGTCAAAGCTTGGATTGGTGTGGAAGCATTCAATCTTGGTTATTTGTCCTGTTGTGTTGTAAATGTCAGCTGGAGTCTGATGGACTTGGTCACTGAGAGAGGAACCTGCTGAAAAGATGAGACACAGTGTATAAGAATGAGTGCTGGTTAATTCAACAAAGTTATAAAATTCAGTTACAGCTAAAATAGCAGCACTGTAAAACACCAGATGACATTACCTGAAACCAGAATAGTGTTCAAATGAATGCTTAGGAATAAGATGATCATGTTGTCTTTTGTGTTTGGTAATAATTTTATCGCTGATACAAAAGATATTCTCAGTGTGTCGGCAGATGATTATGATTATTTCCATCCTCCTCTTTGAGTAAACCCTCCTATCAGCAAACCAACATGAAGGCATGAGGTGGGTGGTGTCATAAGTGTATCCTCCTCCTCTTAACATTATAACCATCATGTCAACTACCACTGCTGCCTCTGTATAAAGGTCTGATTAAACCATACAGGTGCAAGAGGTTGTGAGATGAAACATGTGTTGTGGAGGTTTTTGTACTGAGGAGCAGTGATATGTAGCACTGTGTAAACTAGCAGCACAGAAGTACACTGCACTGCTGTTCAGCTGGAGTTCTTCAATTGTTAATGTGCAGTTTTGGTCTTTATTTGCACTCCCTGCTATCTTCACCTTCACTCCAGTCTCTGGGTATCCACTGCCTCCCATCATGTATCCAAGCAACTGCAGCTGTCTGTTCTTTGATTTCTTGTACCAGAGGATTGTATTATAGTTTTGAATACTGTGTGAACACTCAATTTTAGCTGCTCCTTCAGGTTTGTTGAAAGTGTGGGCTGGATTCTGGTAGACTAGTTCATTTAGAGAGGAACCTGTGGAAAAGCCTTCAAGAGAAACAACACACAATATATCAGTGATTGCAGTTGAGCACCAGACACCAGTTAAAGTTAGAGAGGAAGTCGAAATAAAAATAATTTGTTTCTTTACTTTAAAAGCCCAATGGTTTCTTTGAATCCCTGAAAGTACATGTGCTTATTTTTACCTCATTTTATATAATTCAGTTTACATGCCAGAGCCTGTAGTATGATATTTTCTTTCATAATTCAGGTAAAAAATCTTTTTGCAAAGATAAACACCAATCATCTAAAAATACTTTTCATTACCTGAAACCAGTATAACATTCAAGGTTATGCAGCAGACAATGATCATCATGTTGTGTTTTTAAAGTCAGTCTTGTTTCTGGTGCTGTTTTCTTCACTATGCTGGTATACAGAGGATTCCCTCCTCCCTTTCTGATTAAGTCCTCCTATCAGAAAAACGTCATATCCTCCTTTTCTAAATATTAAAACCATCATGCCAGTTACCATTACACGCCGCTGGGGGTAAGATACACACTGCCACCTCAAGGAAGTAATAAATAGCAGTGTTAATAATAACAAATACATTTTATGTGATGTTACTGCTGTTTTAAAGACCAAACAAAACACAGTCTCTTCAGTCCATGAATTGTTGTTGTTGCCGTTAAAAATGTTAAAATGTTGAATTAGTAATATTCACCATATAAACTACACGTATATAGAATTGATTAAATTCAACAACAACATCAAATTCAACATCAACAGATCTGGAAAAACACTGCACCCTAATGGATAAACTAAGAATCTACCTGTCTCATGGTGCACCAGCTGTGTATCAGTCATTCACGATGTGGTTCAAGTGGTAATTTCTGTAACTGGCTGCGTCAGAGAAGGTTTTTGTTAAAGACGGAGGGTTTGTGTAGCACTGTGCTCTACTGGCTGCACAGAAATACACTGCGCTGTTCTCGGATCGACTCTTTGGAATATGAAGATGTGCCAGACTTGATCCATGACCGCTCACATCATAAGAGTCTTTGAATTTATCTTCAACAACCGCAGAAGTGAATTGTACATAACCAATTAAAGCCATATCATATTCTCCAGCAGACTGTTTGTACCACTGGATCATATTAAAATCAGTGTTTGAATGGTTGCAGTTCATCAGGATGTCTTCTCCAGCATCTTTAATCATGGCAGTGGGAGTCTGATGAACGCTGGTTTTTGAGAGTTCTGCAAGAGACATTTAAAACAAACAGCTTTAGTGACGAATAAACTTAAACTTAATTGAAAATATTTAGTTGGGAGTTAATGCATATTACCTGTTAAACAGAACGGCAGAGCTGCTAAATGTATAAGAAGTCTGATCATGATTGTAAGGTAGATGAAAAGAAAACAATAATGACTGCAAACTGAAGAGAGCTGCCTGGATGTAGAGGATGAGGAGGAGGAGTCTGCTTTACGGACCGTCACATGTCTTCATCAGTGGATTTGTACAGTATCCTGTTCTCCTGGTAAACACAGGAAAAGACCATTTTAAGGTTGATATCAGTGTTGATTTCCTGCCACAGGCTGCAGTTCGATGCAGGTGTGCTCCTCTTCAGCGTGACTTTATGTGGCTGATTATCAGAGAGGGTTTTTGTAAAAGGGAGAGGGAAATTGAGTCACTGTGCTTACTCGCTGCACAGAAGTACGTGGCACTGTCTTCTGGCTCTCTGAGTTTCTGCACATGAAGTTGAGATTTCTTGGAGCCATGTCCAGTTATATTGAAATGCTGTTTGAATTCATCCTCGATGGCTGGACTATCATATGAAATATATCCAATGAGTTTAAGGTCAGAGTCCCCCATCGGCTGCTGGTACCACAATATTACATAGTATGAACTGATTGAATGGTTGCAGCTGATTTCTGGTGAACCATTGGGACTTCCTAATATTGACGATGGAGCCTGATGGACTTTATTGCTCAGTGAACAACCTGCATTTAAAGAGAAAACATTAAGAAAACAGAGATGGTTTCAAAAAATGTAACTTTTAGAATTTGAATTGAAACCTACAGGAGAGCCAGAGAAGCAGCAGAGTGATCCTGTTGAGCTTTCTGATCATGATGTCTTTATCTTCCTCTCTGTCTTTGCACTGACGGACTGAACAGACGTTCAGGGATCAGCTTAGATGGGAGGAGACAGATTTTCATTATGTTGTGAACATTTTTCAAAATGGAAAAAGCCAAACATTAGCTATGTTTTGGGCTTTGTTTTCTTTCCTGAACAAGCTAATAATGACTCTGGGATTGATGATTGGTGATGTTTACTATTTTATTTTGACTATCCGTCAACTAAATGATTAATCTTAAAATATAATTACTGCAACTCCATAAAAAACGAATTGAATTTATTGTATATTTTCTTATCAGAGGGTTTGACTTGCTCTTTAAGAATATATAATATATAAAAACAAATCTTTGAACACATCCATATTTCAGTGGTTTTATGTTCTTAAAGCTGCAGTAGGTACCTTTTATAAAAAATAACTTTTTGTCATATTTACTGAAACTTATCCTGACAGTGAGATCAGGTGAATAAATCTGGTTCCTCTGGCTCCTCCTAGTGCTACTAATGGAATTAACAAGAATCCACCAGACAGAGCCAAGAAAGATGGACACTGTGGGTTGGTGGTTTGAAGATAGTTGATTGTTGAGTTTCATTCCCAGCATCAGTATTTGATGATCATGAGACTCAACAATCAGCTCTTTCTTCTTGTGTTTGTGTTTTTGTGCAAAAGTATAAAACCTATAGCTCTGAACAGGGACACAGTGAAGATCAGATCATTTTAATCTGCTGATCAGAAAAATTATAGTTACAGTGATGAGTTCAACAAAGCTGATAACAGTAAAAAGGTGTGTGATTACTGTGAGACAGCACACACTGGTGATACATGTGGATTAACAGACAGGCTGCCTACATTGGTCTTTATTAACATTTGTTAGTAGTCAGGACACATCAGACACAGAGTCATAAAACGTTTTTGATAGGGTTTGGATTCAGTTGGTTCCAGGTGCTAGTCAGTATATTTGGCAGTAAACCCAGAGGTTATGGAGGTTTATAGATAAAATGTCTTTTTATTCTAGATTCAGACAGTTATCTGTCACAAAATACAGTGTAGTAATTTCACACAGTTCTGTAATGCATGAAAAGTAAGAAACATGTTGTTTTTTTTACATTTAAGGGTCAGAGAAAGAAACCTAATACAGAATGTAAAAAGTAGTGATGTGACAATTTCTGTATTTGTTTTGTATGTCATTTCACATTCACTGACCTTTAACTTCAACATATTTCTACACTCCAGTATAACAATTATATCACAAAGCTACTGATATAATAAATAAAACTGACTACTCAAAATCTTAATGTAGTATACAGGTCTCCAGCTCCTCCTACAGAGAATTATACACAGTGATGGTGTCTTCTATTCATTGTGACAGCAACAGTTGGGTATTTGTACAGCTGTCTCAGTCACCTGTATCACTGTGTTGACTCACAGCACAAAAATACACTCCACTGTCCTCAGGCAGCAGCTTCTCCACTGTCAAAGATCCAGTCTGAGGGTTGTTCTTCTGCGCTGGAAACTTGTCCTCGCTGAAGCCACTTTCATATTGAAACGGGGGAATTGTAGTTGTGTAAACTATTTGCTTCATCCCCTCTCCTGGTAGCTGTCTGTACCAGTACATCTGGTAAAAAGAAGCGTCCTTGTTGTGACTGCAGTTCATTGTGGCAGACTGATCCTTGAGCTTCCACAGCAAAGGTGTCTGAGTGACATCACTCCCATCAATTAGACCTGTGGGGGTAAAAAAGAAAATCACATGTCATGTTACAGGACCACCAGCAGGTCCTCTGTATGCTGACAGAATGATCAATATAAAATCATTTGTATGACTTTAAAGTAACAGATTCTCCTCTCAGTCCTCAGCATCAGAGTGTACAGTACCTACAATCCAGAGCAGAGCTGCAGAGAGTCTGATCAGACCAGCAGTGATCATTATTGTGTTCTGAGTAACATGAACTTGGAGACCGATAGTCGGTGTCAGTGTGTGTGATGGGAGGTGTGACGTTACAGCAGAGAGATGAAGAGTTGTGGGAGTGTCGCTGTATGATGTGATATGATGTACCACCAGAGACACTGCTAACATGAACTTGGTCTCTTAGTCTGAATATTTAAAAACTTCTGGAGCTGTTGATTTATTTCTCAGTAGTAGACAGTTGCATTCAGATAATTGGACAACCATGTGATAGTTATCTTGTTGAAATAAGGTGCAGGCACTGCAGACCTGCTGAACGTCTGAGGCTGTTGTTAGGAACATAAGGAACCTCCCATTATAATATCTGATCTGGATGAAAGGGAAGACCAACATTGGTTAGAATGGGTTAATACAGGTGTAAGTGTGAGCTGTAACATGAAGATATCAGAAGGTTTTTGTACTGAGGAGCAGTGATATGTAGCACTGTGTGAACTAGCAGCACAGAAGTACACTGCACTGCTGTTCAGCTGGAGTTCTTCTATTGTTAATGTGCACGTTTGGTCTTTTAGTGCACCCCCTTCCATCTTTACATTCACTCCATCTTCAGGATATCCATCGTTTACATTCATGTATCCCAGGAGCTGCATCTGCCCGTTCTTCGTTTGCTTGTACCAGTAGATCTGGTTATAATCCTGAATACTGTGTGAACAGCGGATTTTGGCTGTTTCTCTTTTTTTTTTTTTTTGTACACGTCAGCTGGAGTTTGGTGGACTTTGTCACTGAGAGAGGAACCTGTTAAAAAGAAAAATATATCAAACAATATACAATCACAGTTAGTGACTGCAAATAAATCCTCTAAGTCCTTTTTCTTGAATCTGGTTGAACATGCAAATTCAATGTAATTAACTACAGCACCCTGACAACTGTAAATACACATGTTAAAATAACAATGAAGACTTTTTTATTACCTAAAACTAGTATAACATTAATGGTTATCCAGAGGAAGATTATCATGATGTTGGGTTTTATTAAGTTCAGTGTAGTTATTGGTTCTGTGTTTTCATCACAGTGTAGGCTGGTATACTGTTTCTATCTTCTTTTATGAGTAAACACAGCACTGACTCTGAACTTAGAGAATTGATCTTAACTATGTACTTCAATGGATGACCTAATGCATATTTTTGTAATAGGTCATGTTTGTCTTTGTTTGCAGATACACTCACAATGATCGACTTTAACTTAACATTTAAAGGACAGAGGTATCAATAACAATCTGAGGTTGAATGCAATGCAAATAAAATAAAGACGGCACTGTATAACTTCATTCTAACCTTTTCCTTTTTTCTTTAGAAGTTATTGCACTATAAAAAAAACAAAACAAAAAACACCTTTAATGGTAGACTTCTGAATCAGAATCAGGTTTACTGCCAATGGATGAGCATTAATGTAATGTAATGTATAGATTCAGGGTGAGTGGTAGGTTTAACAGGCATTATTAGTGGGGGTCCTGGGTCTTGTTGACTTGGTTGTTGCCTTGTCTTACTCTGAGTATTTAAAATAATCTGTTCACTCATTTGGCAGTAATAGAAAGCTAAAGGAATAAGTTTTGAATTTAGATGATTGGACCGTCCGGCCTTTAATGCTTATTTACAGTACACAGATTTAAGACATCGCAGTGAACTTATTGAAATGAGATACTGCAGAGATACTGAATATATGAGGCTGTTGTTTATAACAGCATGTGGCAGGTTAACTGTTTCATAGCTGCACATAAGGAACCTACCATTATACTATCTGATCTGGACGAGAGAGGGAATGTTCAATTATTAATGTGCAGGTTTGGTCTTTATTTGCACTCCCTGCTATCTTCACCTTCACTCCAGTCTCTGGATATGGATCATTTACATACACATATCCCAGTAGCTCTAGTTGTCTTTTTGATTTCTTGTACCAGAGGATTTGGTTAAAGCTTGGATTGGTGTGGAAACATTCGATCTTGGCTATTTGTCCTGAAATGTTGTAAATGTCAGCTGGAGTCTGATTGACTTGGTCACTGAGAGAGGAACCTGCTGAAAAGACAAGACACAGTGTATAAGAATGAGTGCTGGTAAATTCAACAGTGTAATAAAATTCAGTTACAGCTAAAATAGCAGCACTGTAAAACACTAAAGTATAAACAGATGTTAATAACTTATGATGACATTACCTGAAACCAGAATAGTGTTCAAATGAATGCTTAGGAATAAGATGATCATGTTGTCTTTTGTGTTTGGTAATAATTTTATTGCTGATACAAAAGATATTCTCAGTGTGTCGGCAGATGATTATGATTATTTCCATCCTCCTCTTTGAGTAAACCCTCCTATCAGCAAACCAACATGAAGGCATGAGGTGGGTGGTGTCATAAGTGTATCCTCCTCCTCTTAACATTATAACCATCATGTCAACTACCACTGCTGCCTCTGTATAAATTGTATTGTAGATTGTAACGTAGATGAAAAGAAAACAATAATGACTGCAAACTGAAGAGATCTGCCTGGATGTAGAGGACGAGGAGGAGGAGTCTGCTTTACGGACCGTCACATGTCTTCATCAGTGGATTTGTACAGTGTCCTGCTCTCCTGGTAAACACAGGAAAAGACCGTTTTAAGGTTGATATCAGTGTTGATTTCCTGCCACAGGCTGCAGTTCGATGCAGGTGTGCTCCTCTTCAGCGTGACTTTATGTGGCTGATTATCAGAGAGGGTTTTTGTAAAGGGGAGAGGGAAATTGAGTCACTGTGCTTACTCGCTGCACAGAAGTACGTGGCACTGTCTTCTGGATCTCTGAGTTTCTGCACATGAAGTTGAGATTTTGTGGAGCCATGTCCAGTTATATTGAAATGCTGTCGGAATTTATCCTCGATGGTTGGATTATCATAATAAATATATCCAATGAGTTTAAGGTCAGAGTCCCCCATCGGCTGCTGGTACCACAATATTACATAGTATGAACTGATTGAATGGTTGCAGCTGATTTCTGGTGAACCATTGGGACTTCCTAATATTGACGATGGAGCCTGATGGACTTTATTGCTCAGTGAACAACCTGCATTTAAAGAGAAAAACATTAAGAAAACAGAGATGGTTTCAAAAAATGGAACTTTTAGAATTTGAATTGAAACCTACAGGAGAGCCAGAGAAGCAGCAGAGTGATCCTGTTGGAGCTTTCTGATCATGATGTCTTTATCTTCCTCTCTGTCTTTGCACTGACTGACTGAATAGACGTTCAGGGATCAGCTTAGATGGGAGGAGACAGATTTTCATTATGTTGTGAACATTTATCAAGACCAAAAAAGCCAAACATTAGCTATGTTTTGGGCTTTGTTTTCTTTGCAGAACAAGCTAATAATGACTCTGGGATTGATGATTGGTGATGTTTACTATTTTATTTTGACTATCCGTCAACTAAATGATTAATCTGAAAATATAATTACTGCAACTCCATAAAAAAACAACCGAATTGAATTTATTGTATATTTTCTTATCAGAGGGTTTGACTTGCTCTTTAAGAATACATAATATATAAAAACAAATCTTTGAACACATCCATATTTCAGTGGTTTTATGTCATTAAAGCTGCAGTAGGTAACTTTTATAAAAAATAACTTTTTGTCATATTTATTGAAACTTATCCTGACAGTGAGATCAGGTAAATAAATCTGGTTCCTCTGGCTCCTCCTAGTGCTACTAATGGAATTAACAAGAATCCACCAGACAGAGCCAAGAGAGATGGACACTGTGGGTTGGTGGTTTGAAGATAGTTGATTGTTGAGTGTCATTCCCAGCGTCAGTATTAGATGATCATGACACTCAACAATCAACTCTTTCTTCTCGTGTTTGTGTTTTTGTGTAAAAGTATAATACCTGTAGCTCTGAACAGGGACACAGTGAAGATCAGATCATTTTAATCTGCTGAACAGACAAATTATAGTTACAGTGATGAGTTCAACAAAGCTGATAACAGCATCTCGTCCTCCATCCTGTCACATGATGATGCTGTCTGTAAAAAGGTGTGTTATTACTGTGAGACAGCACACACTGGTGATACATGTGAATTAACAGACAGGCTGCCTACATTGGTCTTTATTAACATTTGTTAGTAGTCAGGACACATCAGACACAAAGTCATAAAACGTTTTTGATAGGGTTTGGATTCAATTGGTTCCAGGTGTTAGTCACTATATTTGGCAGTTAACCCAGAGCTGATGGAGGTTTATAGATAAAATGTCTTTTTATTCTAGATTCAGACAGTTATCTGTCACAAAATACAGTGTAGTAATTTCACACAGTTCTGTAATGCATGAAAAGTAAAAAAACATGTTTTTTTTTTTTACATTTAAGGGTCAGAGAAAGAAACCTAACACAGAATGTAAAAAGTAGTGATGTGACAATTTCTGTATTTCTTTTGTATGTCATTTCACATTCACTGACCTTTAACTTCAACATATTTCTACACTCCAGTATAACAATTATATTACAAAGCTACTGATATAATAAATAACACTGACTGCTCAAAATGTTAATGTAGTATACAGGTCTCCAGCTCCTCCTACAGAGAATTATACACAGTGATGATATCTTCTAATCTTGGAGTTACCTTTGATCAGAATTTGTCATTTAACTCTCACATAAAGCAGACCTCTAGGACTGCCTTCTTTCATTTACGTAATATTACAAAAATAAGACACAGACTATCACAGACAGATGCAGAAAAACTAATCTATGCATTTGTTACTTCAAGGCTGGATTACTGCAACTCTTTATTATCAGGTTTCCCCAATAAGTCCATTAAAACGCTCCAATTAATTCAGAACGCTGCAGCACGAGTACTGACAGGAATTAGAAAAAGAGATCACATCTCTCCTGTACTAGCTTCTCTGCATTGGCTCCCTGTAAAATGTAGAATAGAATTTAAAATCCTCCTCCTTACCTATAAAGCTCTTCATGGTCAGACCCCTTCATATCTTAAAGAGCTCATAGTACCCTATTACCCCACTAGAACACTACGTTCTCTGAATGCTGGGCTACTTGTGGTTCCTATAGTCTCTAAAAGTAGAACAGGAGCCAGAGCCTTCAGTTACCAAGCTCCTCTCCTGTGGAACCAGCTTCCAGTTGTGGTTCGGGAGGCAGACACCCTCACCACATTCAAGAGTAGGCTTAAGACATTCCTCTTTGATAAAGCTTATAGTTAGGGCTGGATCAGGTGAGTCCTGAACCATCCCTTAGTTATGCTGCTATAGGCCTAGACTATCGGGGGATTTCCCATGGTGCACTGAGCTCCTCCCTTCCTCTCTCTTTCTGCACTCATTCATGTTCCATTAATGCATGTTACTAATTTCACTTCTTCCCCGGAGTTCTTGTGCTTTCTCGTCTTGCAGGTTCTTGTCGATCCTGGTGGAGCCTCCTGCCATGGTCCTGCTAGATTGCCATTGCCAATACTGTTGTTGCTGTGCACCTCTCTCTCTCTCTCTCTCTCTCTCTCTCTCTCTCTCTCTCTCTCTCTCTCTCTACCCTCACCCTCACCCTCACCCCAACTGGTCGAGACAGACGACCACCCACCTAGAGCCGGAGGATCTGTCCTAGGTTTCTGCCTTTTAACAGGCAGTTTTTCCTTGCCCTTGTCGCCAAGTGCTTGCTCATGGTGGTACTGTTGGGTCTATGTAATTAATATTTTAAAGAGTTCGGTCTAGACCTGCTCTA